GGGCCTCCCGGGGCGCCCGCCCGGGTGAATGAACTTGACTCCGGGGCTGGGCTGCCCGGCGCTGCGCAGTGCACCCTCCCGCGCGGGCACCCGCTCACACACACCGCCCCCCAAATTCCGGCTTTCCGCCCGCGGTGGGTGGGGAAGTGCAGGAATCAAAGGCTGCGCAGACAATGGAGAGAGAAGTGAGTGCCCGGGGCTCCGCGTCTACCTAGCTTGGGGCCGACCCGGCTGTCCCGCCAACCCCGGGGCGGGGCGGCCCCTCGCCGCCGAGCGTTTCTAGGCTCCCCGCGGATCTCCTCCCTCCACCCCTCGTTCTGCACTTTCCCCCTCAACTTTCTCCCGTCTCTCCCGCTCTTGACCACCGTCCCCGTGCCCTCCCCCTGCGGACCTGAAGGAACCAGTGACTTTTCCTTCAGCTAGTAGGAGTTATCCACATCAAGCATTTCACAACGACACATCAAGAAAAGTAGGCAGGTTCAAGTCAACCATGAAATGGTCACTTTTTAACCCCGTCCTGTCCTCATTAGGGAAATGCTCAAACACAGTCCGTTTTCAAAAAGCACTCTTAATGAGGCGAGCTTGCCAAGTCTACCAGCTGCAGCCCCCGTAAACCCAGAGCCCCAAGAAGAAAGGCGCAGGGGGTGGGGAGTCGAGGAGGCGGTGGGGGCAGCGGTCTGGGAAGACAGGTAAAGTCGGGGAAATTGTGAGAACCCGGGCGAGTTAACCCTTTAGGGCACGCGCCGCGGGGAGCAGCTTCCCTGCCCCCCTAGGCAAATCCTCTAGTTAGCGTTCTGACAACGTTAATTTCCTTTGTACCGGTCATTTCTTCTTTATGAAAAGCTGGGATAAAGTTGACAGTCTTTATAGATGAAAGAAAGGGGGTGACAGTCGGGGTTAATCCAAATAAATACTCATTTCTCTCTCATAAATTTTAGGCCACCTCATCTTAAATTTTAAAAGAAAGAAGGGGGGGACGAACAATCCCAAGGCCTCACTTTGTACTGCGCTGCATCCCTTTTTCTCACCCCCCACCAGATTCTGCGGGAGGGGGCGGGGAAGCTGCACTGATAATACCAGCTTTAACTACTGGAGTTTCCCTTTGAACAAATATTCAATTTAACTGGAGTTAATTTACCATAAAAGACATTCCCCTTGGCAGGAGTGCACTCATGTCCTTGAACACACCTCTTTGAATGCCTGGACTCTCACAGAAGCCATTATTTCGGGGTCTCTTTAAAAATCCTGCGCCCATCTCTCTGCTGCCCTCCCTCCTCCC